CCCTGCGTTTGAACCTACCACCCTCAGTATATGGGCCAGCACCCTACCCACTGAGCCACAGGCACTGCCCCACTTGGCTAATTTTTCTAGAGACAAGGTCTTGCCATGTTGCCCAAACTGGTTCTCAAACTCCTGGCCTCAGGCAGACTTTGCCAAAGTTTGGGGATTACAGGTGTGAGCTACCACACCCGGCTTCATGTGGTTGAATTTAATTGACTTATTCTAGTGCAAAATTGAGTGACTAATGGACATACTCATTATATATAAAAATGATAATTAAGTTTATGTTATAATGACATGAAACAACATGCTTCTATAAAATATCTGACATAGTTATGTGGATAATCAATTTTCTAGAATTTACTATAATAAAATCAGGCAAGCTTAAAAGAGTATATTTAGTACCCATTATTTTCTATTTTGTCCAGAAGTAAAGACAAGGTACAATTAGAGAGCAGCAGCTCAGCTTCCAGTGAAAAAGAAGAGCCATATCCAGAATATAATGAAGAACTGGAGACACTGTGTGAAGAATTACAGGCCACCTTGAATGCTTTGGTGAGACCTAATGCTGACCTCCAAGGTCAATGTCTCTGACTTTGACAGATATATTTGGGGTTTGCTTGATGGTCAGCCCCATTTCACAATTCTTTCCTTCTCTTTAACCTCCTCCAGTGGTCTTGTCCTCTACCTTCCCTCCCCAGGATACAGTCCTAGATACTTTCTCTTCCTGCTCTATGCATTATCCAGGGCAATTCCACCCACTTCCAGGGCTCCATATAGTAAATATTGTAGGCCTCGTGGACCAGTCTCTGTCATGACTGCTCAACCCTGCCTTATAGGGCTGACACAGCCATAGATAATACAGAAGTGAATGCATGCACTATTACAGTAAAACCTTAGTTATGGACACTGAAACTTGAATTTTGTATAATTTTCATGTGTCACAAAACATTATTGTCCTTGTGATTTTTTTTCAACCATATAAAAATGTGAAAACCATTCTTTTTATTTTTTTTGTAGTTTGGCCATGGTTGGGTTTGAACCCGTCACCCTCAGTATATGGGGCTGGTGCCCTACTCACTGAGCCACAGGCGCCTCCCATGAAAACCATTCTTAGCTCAAAAGCCATAAAAATATAGACCATGGGCCAGATTTGGGCCATGGATTGTAGTTTGCCCACCCTTGATATAACAAATATGAGACTGGAGGCGATGCCTGTGGCTCAATGAGTAGGGGTGCCGGCCCCATATACAGAGGGTGACGGGTTCAAACCTGGCCCCAGCCAAACTGCAACAAAAAATAGCTGGGCATTATGGCAGGTGCCTGTAGTCCCAGCTACTCAGGAGGCTGAGGCAAGAGAATCACCTAAAGCCCAACAGCTGGAGGTTCCTGTGAGCTGTGATCCCACGGCACTCTACCTAGGGCTATAAAGTAAGACTCTTATCTCTGCAAGAGAAAAAAAGAAAAACAAATATGAGATTGAAATTTTTGTCGAGACAGGGTCTTGCACTGTCTGTCTCTTAGGCTAGAATGCAGTAGTGGTATCAGCATAGCTCACTGCAACCTCCAATTTTTTTTTTTGAGACAGAGTCTCAAGCTGTCACCCTGGGTAGAGTGCTGTGGTGTCACAGCTCACAGCAACCTCAAACTCTTGGGCTTAAGCAATTCTCTTACCTCAGCCTCCTGAGTAGCTGGGACTACAGGCGCTTGCCACAACACCCAGCTAATTTTTTTTTTATTGTAGTTGTCATTGTTATTTAGCAGACCTGAGCTGGTTTCAAACCTGCCAATCTGAGGGGTATGTGGCTGGCGCCATAACCTCTGTGCTATGAGTGCCGAGCCCTAATTTTTTTTTATTTTTTGTAAAGACAGGGTCTTGCCACTGTCCAAGCTGATCTTGAACTCCTGGCCTCTAGTGATCTTCTTGCCTCTGCTTCTCAAAATGTTAGGATTATAGGTGTGAGCTACCATGCTTTGCCTTGTATTTTAACCTTTTTTTGATGGAAATGTTTTTAATCCTTTACATGCTTTGTTGCCTTTTTAAAGCAGAATATGCTGAGCATAATTGTTTTTATTCACAATACCAGTATTCAAATTTAGGATTCTACCTATTCTAAGTCAGACTGTAGGTTTAAAAGAACTCTCAAGAAAAAAAAAAAAAAACTCCATTAAATAGTAATTGTGTGATATGTCAGTTTCAAATACACGAAAAAATGAGAAAAATGCATTGTGGACATTTTTATAATTTAGACTTTATGATTGAAATATAATATTCTCCTCAGGACTTTTGAGGTTTATGGGGCCACTCTTTTTTTTTTGTTTGTTTTCTTGTTTTTATGGGGCTACTCTTTTAGCTGATCATGTGCTCAGGCTGAGCCAAATCCCCAAGATCATCAGATAAAGTCTGTATGTTTTTTAATTTGTAAACTTTTTTTTTAAGGACAGTTCTATATTTACAGAAAAGTGGAACAGATAGCATAGATAGTTCCTATAAACTGTCTCTCCCTATACTCAGTTTCTTATGTTAGTATGTTTTATGTTTCATACATTTGTATTGAACATGTTACCATTGATGCATCAGTATTGATATATCCTCATTAATGAAAGACTGTAGTCTCCAATTCTCCTTAGATTCCTTTTGACGAGTTCAGGCATATTCAGGGTTGACCTTAGGCTCCTTTTGGCTGTGACAGTTCCTTTGACTTCCCTTGTTTTTGATGACTGACACTTTTGAGGACTATTGGTCAGGTATTTGTAGAATGTCCCTCAATTGGGATGTTTCTGATTATTTTTCTCATGATTAGACTGAGGTTGTGTTTTTTAAAGAGGAAGACTGCAAAAGTAAAGTGTCATTTCTGTTGCAAACTATCAACCTTGGCTGGTGGGGGTGTTTGCCCAGTTTCTTCACTGTAAAGTTTCTTTTCCCCTTCTATGCTGTCCTCTTTGAAAGGAAATCATGTTATCCTCCACCTCCTTGAGGATATAGTATCTATGTAAATTATTTGAAATTCTTCTGTATGGGAGCTTTGCCTCCTCTGTCCCAATCACTAATTATTTGATCATTCATTTATATCAATCTGAACCTTATTTGAGACAGTGTCTCACTGTCACCTGGGCAAGAATTCAGTGACATTATAGCTCAGTGCAACCTCAAATTCGTGGGTTCAAGTGATCTTCCTGCTTCAGCCTCCCCAGGGGCTAGAACTACAGGTGTGTTTCACTATGCCCAGCTAATTTTTCTATTTTTTTTTTTTTTTTAAGAGAAGGAGTCTCACTGTGTTGCTCAGGTTGGTCTCAAACTTCTGGCCTCAAGCAACCTTCCTGTCTCAGCCTCCCAAAGTGCTAGGATTACAGGCATGAGCTTTTGCATCTGGCCATGAATATTTATTTTACCACTGGGGTTGTAAATCGGTAATACTATTTTGTTGTTCAAATTGTTCCCACTTTGGCTGTTGATAGTTTGTTGCTCCTATGTCTCTTTGATGTAGTCTCTTTGTTGTGAGGTTTTGGGTTCTTTTTGAACACTTCCTTATTTTATGGCTTTAAAACATGCTTCATGTTTATCTTGTGGATTATTTGCCTCAGTCGTAGAATCAGCCATTTTCTCCAGGGAGCCCTGGTTCCTTTTATTGGAGAATCCTAATAGACACAAAGATTTGTGTGCTAGTTGTCACCTTAGAAGTTCTCTACTCCAGTGAATTTATTCTGTTTTAAAAGTAGTTTGGGGGCGGCGCCTGTGGCTCAGTGGGTAGGGCGCCCTGGCCAAACTGCAACAAAAAATAGCCAAGCATTGTGGCAGGCACCTGTGGTCCCAGCTACTCGGGAGGCTGAGGCAGGAGAATTGCTTAAGCCCAGGAGTTGGAGGTTGCTGTGAGCTGTGTGATGCCATGGCACTCTACCAAGGGCAATAAACTAAGACTCTATCTTAAAAAACAACAACAACAAATAAAAGTGGTTTGGAAATACATTCTCATTCTATGTTCAAAACTGAAAGGCTTTTTTGTTTGGTTTGGGTTTTTTAGACAGAGTCTCACTATGTTGCCCTTGGTAGGGTGCTGTGGTGTCACAGCTCACAGCAACCTCAATCTCAGGCTTAAGAGATCCTCTTGCCTCAGCCTCCCAAGTAGCTGGGACTACAGGTGCCCAGCATAATGCCTGGCTATTTTTTGGTTGCAGCCGTCGTTGTTTAGCAGGCCTGGGCTGGACTTGAACCTGGCCAGCCTCGGTATATATGGCCAGTGCCCTGCTCACTGAGCTATAGGTGCCAAGCCCCAAACCAAAAGTTTTAAGGACATTTTTTCTATTCTCCTTCAGCTGACAGAATGGTTTCCAGACTTGGCATTAATTATCTTTCATAAATCTGATCTTACTGGGGGGGGTTGATGCACCACTTTTCCTAAACTGGACTAACATTCATAGTGTAGGCTGTGTTAGCTGTGGGAGAAGACTACTGATACTGAAATGTCAGCGTGGGCTGCTGTTCACACGCTCACAGTTCAGGGCTGCACAACTGTTCATAACTCTTGGTCTCCTTACTGATGCCTAAACTATGGAATTGAGCATGGCACGTCCATCCTAGGGTCATGCCTTCAGAATTTTCCTGCTCTTCTGATCTGTATGAGCTTTTCTTAAAATTAAGTGTCAACAGGGAGCTGCTGCAGGATTCAGAGAGGAGAGCAGAAGGCAAGGTATCAAGTTCTGGCTTCATCCTTCCCTAGCTTAACCTTGAGCAGTTTTCCCAGCTATAAAACAAAAATGATGCGTCCTACCTTTAAAGGATGGGCCAAGTGAAATAACAAACCTAAAAAGATTCAGGAAAGGGGTAAAGTCCTTTAATGGGTCCTAAATTTAGTGCCACTCTAGCTATAATCAGAGGGTGGTCAGAAGGGCCCAGTAAGGAATTCAGAGCTCAACAATTTACATCTTTAATTGTCACCTCCCTTAAACATAAAATCAACTATACTTAGGAGTTAGAAATTTGGTCTTTAGAGACCTATGCTACTTAAATCTGAAATCCTAGTTACTTCATCCATTTCTTTAAACTCATCCTTATATAACTCCAAAGATGTACTTCATAAATACTAACTCACTGCATCACTCACCATCCTGTGAAGGCAAGCGTTTTATTCGAACTAGTCTGTGCTACCTAGTGTGTTTAGCAGGGCGAGTGTTACTGTCTCACACAAGTGATAGCTTTAGGGCTTAGGTCAGAGGCTGTGTGTGCTGAGTCACCACCAATGTCACTGTTCCCTTTCTGCATGGAGTATGTCAGGCTACTTTTCATTATTATCATTTATAAATAAGGGAACCAAGGCTCAAGGAGGTTTCAGTAAACTCAAAGATAGTTAATACAAGAGAGTCAGACATGAGCTCATTTAATGCCTTTTCACCTGTCTCGAAGTGAGAGCGTCAAGAGCTTGCCTTAGGGTTCCTCCAGGTATTTGGAGCTAAAACACGAGTACCATTAGGAAATCTTAGCGAAGGGAGACTCAGGAAGCTTTTTCTTCTAGGACTGGAAATTTGGCATTTATTATCGAAGTAATCCAAATTAATGAAATCTTAACAACTGCCTGCCTCTGTCTTCCTAGGAGTCTGGTATGTGTGGAGTTAACAGTGTTTATAGTTACTGGAATTTTAGTCTCAACAGACTTAGACTTCTTATCTCTGAAATCTTATAGATACTGAACTTAAGGCTGGAGATCTCAAATAATAGTCTCATATTCCAAATTAATATCTTTACAGACCAAAATACAGGTGAAAATGGAAAAGCTGTCTTCAACTACCAAGGGAATATGTGAATTAGAAAATTACCATTATGGGGAGGAGACTAAACGGCCCCTTCTGTTTCACACATGGCCTACGACCCATTTCTGTAAGTAGTTCTTTCTCAGGTAGAGGGTACAAGAATGTTTAGTATCATTTAGATCTGGTACTTTAAGCTGACAAGGCTTTAAAATTCAATGTAGAAGTATCATTGGGAGGAAGGGAGATTAAGGACATCTTAAAATAAGCATTTCTTCTTGGCTTTAATTACCTAATCAATCAGCAGAGAATATTAAACATAATTAGAGAACCATGAAGCAAGTTACCATTGGGTAGAATGAATTCCACTACCTCTTTGGAGGCAGAAATCTATAATTATTTTTTTTATTTTTTGGGAAGAAAGATTTTCTTTGTTGCTTTTTTATTTTTTCTTTGTTTTAATTAAAAAATAAATTAAGGTCATGAAAGCCAACCTCATGGAAGAATGCTCTTGGGGAAAAAGAAACCCATTACTTAAATAAACTCTATTAAGATATTTCTTGAAGGGTTACTTTTAGTTTTATTGGTTCAAAGAAGGGGAAAACTGATGTTGATTTGAGATTTTATCTAGAGGAATGTGTTCATAAAGTATTGTCAATGTGAGGTGAATCTCCTGTTTATAATCACTGCCAGTCACTTAAAGCTTAAGTATAAAAGGTACTTTTTAATTTCATCCTACTTAACAAGTTTATCTATTTGCACTCATCTGCACCAGTAAGAATAATCCCATCTCATCCTTCTTTATCTTGGTGCTATTGCTAATTCTTATTTTTAATAAGAAGCTTTAAAAAATGTGGTTCATCCTAAGTCAAGAGTACTTTCTTAAATTAGTATGAAGGGCAACTTAATGTCTGTTCCAGATGAGGTTTCCCAAAAGCTTTCTGACATGTACCGGAAGGAGCTGCTCCTGAAGCAAACTGTGGTTGAAGAGCTTGCCCATTCCTCGGACCATGACCTCATCCTGAGCTACTTGTCAATGTGGCTGTACCAGCCCTACCTGGAGAGTGACAGCAAGCTGCACCTGGAAAGCATGCTACTTGAAACAGGGCACCGAGCACTGTGACCTCCCTGCACAGCCTGGTGTGTGAGAGCAGCTTTTACCCTCAGGGCCTTGGTATCTTCCACGTCTCCCCTGGTGGACACTTTCCTGTGTAGGACCTAGTGCTATAAGTCAGGATCTGACAGCCACCGACTGTCTTAGGACCTTCCAGGCTTGAGCATATCTCCAGCCCCTCTGGCCTCTCCAGTCCTCCTCATAGTATCTTGGCCACTTCCAGCTGGTGCTCCTTGCCAGTCAGCCTCATCTGCATCTGTGATGACTCTGTCCCTCATGAGTGCTTCTGAGTAAAATAAATGAACTCCTGAACAGAATGATTTAGTAATCTGGTTTTTGTAAATTAAGTATACTTTACGTATAACATTTATGTAGAAAATCCCTGCTTTAATATTTTTACTTTATACCTTATTTGTACTGTTGAAATGTTAATGAGATATATTAGTTTTTGGTAATTACAACTAATATTTATAATCCCATAGAGTTAATTAAGTAAAGTTTGGCGTCAAAGAAAGGAAAAATACATACCAAAAAATGGCCAATGCAAGCATATTCTACTGAGAATATGACTGGCCAAGTAAATACCTTCTGCATTGCTCTGACACAAATCTCTGGCAAGGTTTGCAGCCATTTCTATGGTTAATGTATTAGGTTGGAATAAGGGAAAGGTGGCAGTTTGAAACAGATTGAGGAGGCTGGCCAAAAGTTAAGGGGGAAGGACACTGGAGTTCCTAAAAGCCTACTTTAAACTATTGTTTTCTGTTGGATTACTTGTTGGTTGCCTTTTTATTAACATAAATTCTGTGGGCCCAAATTGTATACTTAATAACAGGGGTTTTTCTTGTTTGTTTTTTTTTTAAGAGAAAGTCTCTCTGGCTTGGTGCCTGTAGCACAGTGGTTACAGTGCCAGCCACATATACCAAGGCTAGTGGGTTCAAACCTGGCCCAGGCCAGCTAAACAACAATGACAACTGCAACCAAAAATAGCTGGGCATTTTGGTGGGTGCCTGTAGTCCCAGCTACTTGGGAGGATGAGGCAAGAGAATCACTTAAGCCCAAGAGTTTGAGGTTGCTATGAACTATGATGCCATGGCACTCTATCGAGGGCTACATAGTAAGACTCTGTCTTAAAAATAAATAAATAAATAAAGACAGAGTCTCTCTCTGTCACCAGGGTAGAGTACATTGGTGTCATCATAGCTCACTGCAACCTCAAACTCTTGGGCTCAAGTGATGCTCTTGCCTGAGCTTCCCAAGTAACTGGGACTATAAGCAGGTGCCACCACGCCTGGCTGATTTTTAGTTTTTGGAGAGATGAAGTCTTACCATGTTGCCTAGGCTGGTCTCAAACTCCTGGGCTCAAGCAATTTTCCCATCTCAGGCTCCTGAAGTGCTGGGATTACAGGCATAAGCCACTGGCCTCATTTTAGATTATTTTATATTTTAACTATTAATATTAAGATATTATTGGCTCGGCACCCATAGCACAGTGGTTACATCGCCGGCCACATACACCCAGGCTGGAGGGTTTGAACCTGGCTTAGGCCAGCTAAACAACAAACAACTGCAACAAAAAAAAATAGCCAGGTGTTGTGGCAGGCACCTGTAGTCCCAGCTACTTGGGAGGCTGAGGCAAGAGAATCACTGAAGCCCAAGAGTTTGAGGTTGCTGTGAGCTGTGACATCAACACTGAAGCACTCTATCAAGGGCGACATAGTAAGACTCTGTCTCAACAACAACAACAAAAATTAAAATACTACTTATGTATGTTTATGATGACTATTTTAACTTTTTAACCACTAAATAAGGACTTAACCTATATAGTATTTATAGCCAGGAGGACCTCAGAAATCTACCACCTCCAGCCCCTTCTGCATTCGTTTTACAGATGAGGAAACAGTGGCCCCTAGTCAGGCATGGAGTTGTCTGAAGTTATGTGCTACTCAATGGCAGTCCCCAGATTTCCTTTCTTTTAGTCCACCTTGATTTAATGAGAACATGGGTGTAGCTCCCAATCACTATTTTATTTTTTTGCCAAGCATTTACCTACTATCTGTTCAGCCCTGTGTTTAGAACTAGGGACTCAAAAACAAATCATACATAAAATCCACTAGAGACTTTTGGACCAAGAAGGCAGATAAACTTTAGTACAACACATGGAGTAGTATTTAATTCTACCATTGCTCACCAGGAAAAGAAATTTAAGAAACTTTATGCTGTGCGATAGAGTAAGCTATTTGAAACTGAAGTTATAGAGTCCTAGGAACAAAGCAACATTTCTTAGGATTTCTCTTCCTGCTGCCTTTGCTGTATTTATTAAAATCTAACTAACATAGAAGTAGACACTTAGAGTCTAGTAGTCTGATACCACATGGTCATCCTTTGGCAGGAATGGTGTTGTCCCGCTAGGGGCTGCCCTGCTTGCTGAGGAAACCAGCTGTTGCAATGAGCTGCGGAGGCAGTTAGGCGGGACAGGGCCCCAGGCGGCTCTGCTCCCCAGCTGCCCACCTGAGAAATCTTGGCATGAGGCCCATCTGCAGTCAGCTTTATGTTTGGGGGGGTATCTAAATAAATGTTCTTCGGAGGAGACAATGAAGTAATTAGTACCATGAACAACATTTAACGTATTTTTTTTTTTTTTTAGACAGAGCCTCAAGCTGTCCCCCTGGGTAGAGTGCTGTGGCATCACAACTCACAGCAACCTCCAACTCCTAGGCTCAAGTGAGTCTCCTGCCTCAGCCTCCCAAGTAGCTGGGACCACAGGCGCCTGCCACAACGCCTGGCTATTTTTTTTTTTTTTGGTTGCAGCTGTCATTGTTGTTTGGCAGGCTTGGGCTGGATTTGAACCCGCCACCTTAGGTGTATGTGGCTGGCGCCTTAGCCACTTGAGCCACAGGCGCCAAGCCATTTCACATATTTTTGACAGTGTACTCCCTGAACACACATCAGCATCCTGCTCAGGAGAATTAATGGAAAGGATTGATACAGCTAAGGACAAACAAGTGAAAGAGATAAACGCTGAACAAAAATAACGAATCTGCTGAGCAATTTCTCTCTGAAAGAAACAAGGAAGTAGTCAGAGCCATAGTAGGTGGATCACACACAGTAATAATCTTCATGTCCAGAAATCCTGCCAAATTGATAGTAAAGGAATACTAAAGACTAGAAATCCACAGAATCAAAGGCCAGGAGCAGTGGCCTATAATCCTAGCACTTTGGGAGGCCAAGGCAAGAGGGTTGCTTGAGGCCAGAAGTTGAAGTCACAGTAAGCTATGATGATGATGCCGTACTCTAGCCCAGGCAACAGAGTGGAGACCCTGTTGAAACAATAAATAAAATAAAAATAAAACAGCAAAAAATAAAGAAAACTAAGCAAATGAAAAAAATAAGGCAGTTATTCTAGGGGTGGGGGGAACCCCAGTAAGGCTCAGCAATAAAGGGCATTTATATGACAATGTTAGCATTAGATACGGACTAAGTAACAATTTGTGACATTCCTGCAATAGATGTGAGAGCTGAGAGGCATGTGAGCCATGAGCCATGTGTTATTGGGTCTGCCAATAACATCTGATATGACTAAAGAAAAGAGCTACATAGATATAATCCAGAAACACAGAAGTAAGTAGCTAAAGAGGAAGAAGCTGGGACTGAGTGGAAGCAATGGCTGACGTTGGGCCTGCTATTGCTCACCACAGGCTCTTCAGAATTATCTGATGTTTTTATACCATCTTCATGTTATTCCTTAGGTGAAAATAAAAATTTATCTTTAAAAAAGGTGCCTAGGCTGGGTGCAGTGGCTCATGTTTATAATCCTAACACTCTGGGAGGCCGAGGTGGGAGGAGTGCTTGAGCTCACTAGTTTGAGACCAGTTTAAGCAAAAGTAAGACCCCATCTCTACTAAAACCAGAAAAATTAGCTTGATGCTCTGGCAGGCACCTGTAGTCCCGTATAATTGGGAGGATGAAGGAGGAACCCAGGAGTTTGAGGTTGCTGTTCACTAGGCTGACACCATGGCACATTAGTCTGGGTAACAGAGTGAAACACTATTTCAAGAAAAAAAAAAAAAGTGCCTAAAAGGGAAGTAAATATCCACTCTGCCATGGCTTTTCTCCTACTGGTTCAGTTTACCCCATTCCTGTGGCCACTTGGGAAGTTCTGAGGCTGTTGTGCCAGAGGTGCCCCACCACAGGTACAGCAACAGGGCCTGTCATGTTTTCCAGAGAACACAGAAGGAGAGAATTTTCTTTCATTACATTTAGTAATAATTAACAATGACTGAACAGGCTTGGCGCCTGTGGCTCAAGTGGCTAAGGCGCCAGCCACATACACCTAAAGTGGCGGGTTCTAATCCAGCCTGGGCCCGCTAAACAACAATGACGGCTGCAACCAAAAAATGGCTGG